TATTAAAGTTAAAAACACGAATTCTTACTATCGCTTGGCAAATGCCGCCTAAAACCATGTTTTACACCGTGCAATGGAAATTATAGAGAAAAAAAAAACACAAAACTGTTTTGTAAATAGTTAGGTTCTGTATGTGGAACAACTTTTAAGTGATCTGCCGTTAAATGTCGTGTAAGGAGAACTGAATACATAAGCTCGCTTTACCTGATCTCTGGTCTTGCCGTTTTTCCAAATGTAACAAGTTCCTTGCCTTTAGTTATTGCTTTAATAAATTTGAAAGCACTACGGTGAAATTGATTATAGAGGTATCTACACTTTATATCATAAATAGGAGTTTCACACTTTAGATTAACATGTTCCCTCACTGAGAGAGAGAAGAGAACCAACATAAATACTTAATTTAGTACAAATGTACAAACGAAAATAAAGCAGCCACGCTAGTGAAAAAACCCACATAACCTGACCTCCGTATAACGCTGACCAAGTAAAAATCTAAAGCCAAATTTCCAAGGACATATTATTGCATTGTTTTCTATCCTTTTATATCCAGGTTTGATTGGACATTATGGAAATCTCTACACACAGAAAAAAGCCCAGGATATAAAAGTACACCAAGCTTCCGCTAAGTGGATAAAAAAAAAGAACATGCACAAGCCTGCAGTGCAGCTGGGCTTTGTGTAAGTCATACTCTCAATGACTCCCAGCTTGCACTGGTAGTTAATTCCCGGGAGTGCTTACATGATACAGAGCCCCGCCGCACAGCAAAAGGAGTGTCGCTCATATAGATCTAATACAGCGGTAACAAAACACTAAGCAGAAAACGGAGCAGGCACAAACACTCATTCCAGTGGCTTGAGGTCATGCACCGTGCAGTTCCGTGGGTGCAGAAGTACCAAGAGTATAACTGGACACTACCCCGAAGTTTGGGGAAGGTTTATATTTTAACAGGGCAGGTGTCTGGTATAATCATTTAAATGACATCTTCCGTTAACGAATGAAAAAGGAGGAGGCACAAAATGGTGATTTGACGCTAGCACTTACAGGAAACTAAATTCAATTTATACCTTCCCTTTTTTTTATATATACAAAGGCCAAGGAAGTTTCTCACAAGATATTTCAGTTCTAGTCTTTACAAGCTCTCTCATACAAACACTCTTTATGGCTTCCTTTTTATTGGTGTCGGCCTTTGTGGTTCCATTGGGCACATTAACTAATCTGGACATAATTTTTATGGGGGGCAGGAGCACAATATTGCCCCTCCCATCAAATTCAGTAGCAGCCCCATAGGGCAACAACTGTGTTTAATGACTTTGCGTCAAGTCATCAGTCTTCAGAATCACAGGACACATTCCACTGCTGTCAGGCAGCTCTTCTTTTCCTTTTACAAACTTCAGTTTCAGAAATTCAAGCTTCTCATCCTGGGAAAATACCAAAGAGGAAGCAGGAGACCTTGGGAAATAACCGTGTCTGGGCAGACTGTCAGTTCATTGTGATTTGGTTGTCGAAGGCATGATCTTTTAAGACTAATTGGAGTCTTTAAAAAAAAAAATGTACCGAGCTTCTAGGGACAGAAGAAACCGCTCTCCAGAAGTTCTTAAAGCTTACAAAGAAATGTCTTTGATCTTCATGCGGTGAGGTTTTAATCCACTATTGCAGACATGAGAACCATCACTGCTATTCCGCAGAACAGAAGGAGGACCTGCTGGAGAGAGTTCCTGTCAAAAGGAAAACAAAACGAAAAAGTAAAGGGCAACTCCAGTCGAACGTTGATTATCCATCTATATGCAAGAGAACACATTTACCTGACTGCTGAAAGAGAAATAAATCAGACATCCCACAATTAATTGCGATTTTAGGCTCTTTTTTTAGTTCAGCAGTCATGCTTAACAAGCACTCCCAGTCTTGACTGACAAAACAGACCGAGCGAAAGAAAATCATTTTTGTGCATTCGTGTTATAGCTGCAGTTCACAAGAGAGCGTTAAAATGAAAGCGCCGACAGGGAGGTGGGCACTGTGCCGCGGACATGACTCAAATACGAGATTTCAAAATGGTTTATTTTTTTTAACAGTTTCCAGGAGAAGCAAAAATATATAAGCTGCAAAATGTTAAGAATTTCAGAAAGAGACGCACTGCACATGCATTCAAAAAATGCTTTGATGCATTTAAAAAAAAAAAGAAAAACCTGACAGTGCCTGCCTTCCTTTCCACAAATAATCTTTAAACCCCAAGCAGCTCCTTCTGATTAACAGAGCTCTTTGGACAGATCTGCACTCAGTGTCTGGTAGCTGGAGCTCCTGACAGACCTACCAAGCAGCCTGCAATGATGACTTGTGACAGCTCAGCACTCCTCAGATGCTGCTAACATCTGCTCTCCGAGAAAGCAGATTTGGGAGTGTCTTTACCACACTGCATCCCCTCAAGGGAAACTGGACCATTTCTTTTTCGAAAGCTCATTTCCATCGCCAGATAACGAACTGAAGTCTCTCGCTTCTTCCAAATCTCACATCCTATCACCTCCGTTTAGAACACGCAACATACAGAAAACTTAAGACTTCATAGAAAATGCTAATGCAGTTATCCCTCAATTTGATTTATGAACTTAGCTCGTGCACCAAAAACCACTTAGAAGATGAAAATTCGTAAATCGAAAATGTAATTCCTGTAGGATCCGATGTGAGATATTCCCCCTAGAGCAACCCCACCACTATCCATACATTACAATAGGACACCAGCCGAACACATCAAGCATTGTTTGAGCCTCAAAATAACTTGAGGCATTAACAAACCTGTCATCCAGGTGCTTAATAAAATCTTCAATGCATAAGCAAGAATAATGAAAAGTATTAAAATTGCACTTTATCTTTTATTCAAGCTTCCATAATAAAGTTGAAGCTTTAATAAATCTTCAATCAGTTAGGAACCTTTTCCCGTTAGGAAAAATTGCTACCATCATAGAGCAAGTTGTGATGCATTTTTCATAAACCTGATTGCAAAAAAATATTTCTTGGAAGGTTTTAAAAATGAAAAGATTTATTACTGTAAAGGTGACGCACACAGTGCCAGGACCTAATCAATCGAAGAACAGCAAATATGAACGAAATTTCATTGGTAGATTCACTACTAACCTGGGATTGGTTTCTTCAAGCAGTTCTGGCACAACATTCACCAGGGCAATATACAGAAAACCACCCGATGTAAAAGGCAAAATCCAGGATATTGTGTCTTCTGTGAAGATCAGAAGAAATCAAATATATACAACTATCAACACGCTACAAATGTGTCGCAGCTTCTTTACAAAAGTCAGACCTAGTCGTTCACAGATTAAGCCTAGTCTTTTAAGAAAACGGGGGGAAAAAATAATTAATTACAGAAGGCCATCTGACCCATGATGCTCATGTGATCAGTAGTATCTAGTTGGGGAAGTGCATCAGGCTTATAGTGGAAGTTGGAGCTCCTGAGAGTCCAGGTGTGCCCTCTCACTCCCAGGACCTGTGCCTCCAGTCACCCCCG